GTTACTTCGACCAATCGGACCTTCCTTGTAAGATGAATGAACTACAAAAAGATCCTACTTGAGCCGTCGGCTAGCGGCGATACATCATTTACATCATTATGGCCGATACTGAGTAGATAATAGTGTTAATCGCTACTCACAAAGTTTTTGGACACGAGTAAGAGAGCTTGCAAAAGAGCTTGAGAGACTACATCAAATAAGAATGATAGAAAATTGCAAATGCACCGTTAAAGGCTTCCTACGATCTCATATATATTAGGTTGGTGCAAAAGTAATGCGCGTTTTTCTAGCCCTTGGTTTAGGACAACTTTTCTCCACCAAACTTTCTTTTTTGAATAAACTTAGCACACTCTCAGGAAGCTCCTTTCATTCTCTATCCAATGATGGTTGAAACGAGCTTCTAGCTGCATTGGGAAAAAAATATGGGAGCTTCACACAGCCGCACTCAAAACCAGAATTTTATTGCATTTACTTCTCTGGCCAGAAATCAAGCCCGAATAAAAGCAAACTTTCGAAACTTTAGCTAATATATTTAATGGAAATTGTCTACATTATGCACATTTTACTATTTTCTCAGAAATTACCTGGGCTAAGATTTCGGCTCCTCAACGTGGGCAGTTGTTTTGATCATTCTCTGATCCATAAATTCCCTTTGAAGAAGGCAATTACCAAACCTTTGCTCATTTCTGTAAGCGTAAGGGTAGGCCTCCTACTGGCAGTTTTTACAGAATTGTGTATCTGTTCGTTACGCAGAAATCTAAAAAAATTCCATATTTTGGAGTTTTTACGCCTGCGAAAAAATGTCCAGAAAGCGGGCAATTTAGGTTTTGAATTTTTTTCCTCTTCGCACATTCTCTCTGTTTGGCCTTCTCCACTTTTTTTGTACTACAGGCTTTCGGCTACAACATAGGCTATTTGTTATCTATATTGACATATTCTGAAGAAAGCTATGATCAGTTAAATTTGAAGTTTCAGAAAAGAACTTTTTCTGCTTGTCAGTCCATATTTTTCTGCCCGTTGGAGAGATGAGTACAGGGAGATGTGCGCTGTATTGAAAAAGGCTTGGTGCCTCTAATTTTTTTTTACCGCATTGGAAAATTTAGATTTTTTAGAAAGTTATAACACGTCAAACTGAGAACTCGCAAAACGCGCATTACTTTTGCACCAACCTAATATATTAGGTTATTACATATGTCTTGTTACACTTAAGCTCTAATGGCGGTAAGTCACACACCTCATAGTCTTTGCAGGACTCGAAGGTACCATTCGATAGAGCAAAGCAAGCTTTACAAGACGGTTTGCAAAAGTTCGCACCAGCTCCGACCACCGTAAGTTTGCACCCAAAATCTGAATCGTATTGAAATTCAAAAAATCGCGAAAAATTCATATCTTTGTTCAAGCGAATCCTACGGATCTCCAACTCGCTCACAAAAATTGCCCACTATAACAAACACTCATATGTACCGTTGCTGTATTTTTTCCTTATCTAGAAATCGAGAAAAAGAATCTTTCTTAGTTTTTACAAAAACGAATCTATGCTGTTTCTTTTCATGTAGCTGTATACTACAAGCCCTTAAAAATATAACCGTAAGTTTTCAGCTTTTCAGAAGCTCTGGTTTTTGAAAAATACCAAATTTAGCTTTTATCACTCGGGTGTTCAATGCTAAATTAGGTAATTTTCGAAAACTAGGGCTTCTGGGAAGCTGAAAATTTACGGTCATACTTTTAAGAGCTTGTAGTATACAGCTACATGAATAGAAACAGCATAGCTTCATTTCTGTAAAAACTAAAAAAATTCTTTTTCTCGATTTCTAGATAAGGAAAAAATACAGCAGTACATATGAGTGTTTGATATAGTGGGCAATTTTTGTGAGCAAGTTGGAGATCCGTAAGATTTGTTTGAACAAAGATATGAATTTTTCGCGATTTTTTGAATTTCAGTACGACTCAGATTTTGGGTGCAAACTTACGTGGGTCGGAGCTGGTGTGAACTTTTGCAGACCATCTTGTAGAGTTTGCTTTGCTCCATCGAATGGTACCTTGGAGTCCTGCAAAGACTATGAGGTGTATGACCTATCGCCGTTAGAAGTTAAGTGTAACAAGACTTATGTAACAACCTAATATTTCTACTAATGGATATGAACATGCGCAGTCACATAAAACATATAATAAAAATGGTATCCAAGTTAACGGTGTTTCATGGAAAATACACAGGCTTTAATGAGTCCATTATCCTTCAAAATTTTATCGTAGATTTCTTTCTCTTGTCTTGATAATTCGTTTTCGTCATAGTCGATGTCACTCCGCTGCTACAATGTTTGCCTACTCACTTGTTGTGTGAACATTGAGTCCGCGGTTCATGCATGTGCGGAGTGGACGCATCTATGCCTCATGTTATAAACTCTATGTTACGCTACATTTACCGGAATTTTCACTCTATTAGGATTATTGCAGTTTCACGACTTGAGTTTCCTTGATCTTATATATAAAGCTGAATGTCTGTTTGTCTGTATGTCTGTATGTCTGTGCGTACGTATGTTCCGAATGGAAAATTTCATTTCTGAACCGATCCGGACCAAACTTGGCACACATACACTTCGGGTCCCGGGGGTGTCATAGGCAACTTTTCGTCATCGATCGATATCGATTTTATCGACTTTTATCGATTTATTTGCAGAGTTCACCTACGGGGCTGGGAGTTGGCACAGGCGGGTAAGTGAGCATGGGGATTCCGAATACAATATTAGTAGGATTATCGATTACTTTTATCGATTTTATCAATTTTTTGTAAAGTTTGATATGCGGGAATGGGAGCTGGCACAGATGGGTAATCGAGCATGCTGATTACGAATACAATATCAGTTTTTTGGCATTATCCATTACTTTTATCGATTTTATTCATTTTTTGCAAAGTTTGAGCATGGGGCTGAGAGTTGACCCAGAGGGATAATCGAGCATGCTGATTACGAATACGATATTAGTTTGGCGCTATTCGGCTATCCGAGCCCCAAAATCTTTTTGTCCTAGATTGCTCAGACTCCGTATATAAAGGTTATCTTACATGCTGATTACAGATATCACACTTTCTCCACAGAACGTCTCCCCGTGTGGTTACGATAGGTGTACGGTAGGAAGTCAAAACCATAAATTTGGCTGGAGTTCGGTCCAGAGAACTTATTCGACATGCTGTTTACGAATTTCATACTCTCTCTCTGCATATTGAGACCTTTTCATAGAGTTATGGTGGTTATACGGTATGGGATCGAAAACATAGATTTGCTTTAAACTTCGTCTAGGGTGGTCATTTAGTGCGCTGAACATGAATTTCATACTGATTTCGCAGGATGGCGCATTTTCTTGGGTTACGGTGGGTGTGCAGTAGATGGGTCGAAGTTCCAGATTTGCTCAAAACCTTACCTGTTGGTTCAAGCATAAAGCTTATGAATATGATATGAGCTTGCTCGCTGTAATAACGCATTATTGTAAAGTTGTTGTGAGTTGCAGGGTTTGAATGGACATTCTTTCGCTTTCGGGCCAATTTAGATCCCAGATATTCACGTAATGGGGAAACGGTCGTTTTGCATGGCGGTCTTCAACGCCATCTTGATAACCTGTCCCAACGCGTAACGCACGCGGCAAATCTCCCTCGCCTGTTTTTGCTTAGGTAAAAGCCGCCGAAGGGTGTATCGCGCGCGGCAGTGGTTCCATAAGAAAGCATTATGGTCGTGGGAAACTTTTATACCACACGAATCGCCTTTATCGTGAGGATTAAGCACAATATTCTTGAAACAGCACTTTAGGTGAATCTCTGCCAAGGTTTCAGGCAGGTTCATGATTTTTACCCGCTGCCACGCGAAATGACTACGATATTTGTCATCAGCGGCTCAAACAACCCCATTGCCAAGATGCGTCACAGAAACATTTAGCCCGTATAGCCGAGTAGCCCTATCAGTTTTCAGAATTACCCTTAATTTTATCGATTTTATTGATTTTTTGCAAAATTTGAGCTACGGGGCTGGGGGTTGCTAAGGAGGGTAGGTGCATGCTGTCTACTAACACAGCGGGAATAGGGAATTGCATGTAGAAGTGGGCACAGGGAAAGGTTGTACTACGAAGGGAATGGAACTTTATCAAAGTATTTTGACAGGGCCGGGCGGAGCCGGGTAAGCCAGCTAGTTATCTATACTCCTAACCACTCTAGCATATTTGAGGAGAAAAGATCAATGCAAAGATCAGTCGATCTTTCGCATCGCGACTACAACGACAGTGGAAACTAGATATTCAACCCCTCATTATACTTACGTTATCTTAAAAGCAGTGGCTCGGGAAATTCGCGAGTGGGAAAGTTCCACAAATACATAGCCATTTGGACCAGCTGAGAGGGACTGTGCTTGAAAAGTCAAAAAAAGTGTTTTTTTTGTGCTTTCCGACCTTAGAGATTGCTGGAGAGACGGGGCGAGGGATTCCCGTCAATTGTATCGTATTGATTCCCTGGGCTGATCAGCCAATTGCTGCCAAAACAGGTGAAGTTAAGTATCCTGCACTCACTTGTGGTTATGGTGGGAATCCCTCGCCTCGCCTCTCCAGCAATCCGCGAGGCCGGTAAACTCCAAAAAATACTTTTTTTACATTTCCACAGTACCTGACCAGCTGGTCCAGAAGGTCATGTGAAGGCTATGAAAAGTCCCCAGTGGCGATTTTCCCGAGCCACTGCCTTCAAATGACTAGAATAAGATAATGAGTTCGGCTTGTTTGTCCTCATTCTGGGAGAATGGCATGGTGGCATTCATTTGCAGATTCAGATCGTCATTAAGAAGCCGTTCGTCAAGCGGTCATCCCAATGATGTGCGTGTTTTGGCGCAAACTGTGTATAGTTTGTTCGTTCCAAATTTCTTTTTTGGAAGAAAGTAGAATATCAGTCGCACTGCCATAAAATATGCGCGCAGCTAGAATCATTATTGAGGTGATTGAAAAGCTATTGCTTTTTTCAGATTGAAAAGATGAGTACGGCAAGAAGGCGAGCTTCTTCTCAATCAGCAAGGTAATACTCATGATTACAAAAGCTAAAAAGGCAGCCTGTGATTCAAAGGCGGCGTCCAGGCACGATCCACTACCCAGATTAGCACATAGTTGTAAAGCGGGCCCGTGAATATCCGATCTGCGTTGGTCCGATCCTTTGGCGTGGCCTCTAAAAGGAGACACGGGCCTGTGATACATATCACAAACCGCCCTCGTATCACAAACCTTCCCCTGAGGACGTGTGCTCACGCATCGAGAGCACAGATTGCAACTGCACCCATGCAGTTGCAGTTACTCCTTGGTGGCGAGCCGAGGGGATAAACAATCCGAAACTCGTCCGTGCCCTCAAAACAGGGTCCCCAGAAATTGGTTTTGATGGCATTATATCTGGACTTTATTACTGTAACCAGGGCCACGGAAAAGCCCTAAAACGACAAAAACATGAGAAACGAAATTTTGCTCGGACGCTGCCTTTAACGATACAACACCTCCAAAATCAACGCCCTCGTCAGCGTATCTGAAGTGCCGGACATATATCACTCCATTTCATCGCCTCGCGATTCTCCTAATAAGACAATGTTATAAGTCTACTGCATGCCGATCATCTTGCATTTTGATTGCGATAGTTAGTCGCGATTGCTCATGTCGGAAAACTAACTCAGCCGAAATGCAAAACGATCGACATGCAATGAACTCATAATACTTGTCTTTGAGAGAATCGCGAGAAGTATACCCGGCCCTAAAGGACGCTTTTCAAGAGACATAACAAGAGTGATTCTTACTCTACTCCTATTCGGCGCGCTAAAACTACTGCATCAACAATTGTTTCATACCTACACACCTACAGCAAATCTCCAAAATATGTAAAAACAAAACGAGCAGCTAGTAATTGAACAGACAGGAAAGCAAATTCTGAAAATATGTAAAGGATAAAGGATTTGGCGTCTTCAGTACCCACTGCGAGCATGCCCCAAAAAAGTGCGAATGCATGCAAGCCTCTACAGTACTCTGGATCAGCCACCAAGTTAGTGGCCTGTATAAACCTCGATCATCACAACTTGCGTCTCAGTATAGTATCAGCAGTGCCATCGAGCCCGATGCGGACCAGTCTGTGGGCAGGATGAACCTGTTTCTAAGAAATCAACAGCTTTACCGATTGAGCAGGTTTGATGAAGGGTAAGACATTGCCCTTCGGCAAGGCCATGAATCGAGGTATTGCGTTGCTGGCGGCGCCATTTTGCCACATCGCTAGGGAGCTTTTGATTATTAAAAAAACGATGACGATCGCTTGTAAAAATTTCGCCTAGCAAATGGATGATTCATACAAAATTGCAGCTCTTTAACATGATCAACATAACAACAACACTTTAATTTTCGAGAAAACTTACAAATGTTGGGATAAATTTCTGTGGAAAAAGCTTCCTCTGCAAAAAAAAAGAAAAGTGATGCTTTGATATCTAGAATCAACTGTTTACCGTCTTTCCATCAGCAATAACCTGACTTCGACGTGGAAGCGCGGAACTGACCGCGGCACTTGATCGGACGGTCTCTCGCAGCTTAATTTGCCATCCTAAAGCATGCAAATTTGTTCACGTAGGTTTAGGTTTACGATGTTCCTCTGAAGGGCCAGCTCAGTCAGACTGAAATGAGTGGCGGTTTACTACGGACTAGTGTTTTGATCTACCAAGGCAACTGCATTAACAATTTGCAGAGGTCTTGCTTGACCTTAGGGCGGGATCGATTAGATCTTGCTCTGACAGGGTTGTAGGGCCCCATGTCACTATGCTACTCAACACCCTCAAATGTACAATCATCAAGCACAAACTTGTATATAAGTGAAGGAGAGAGGGGAAAGGCGTACAAGAACCAACTTTGTCTCATTCAAGGTAGTATAAGTTGTGTAATATTTACATGACGGGATTGGTGCTAAATGGCGTGGGTCTTTGCTTGAATTTTACTGATTAGTCGGCTTGTTGGACAACTACTTACACCAATAAGAATGTTTTATTAGCGACGAATGAGGTTCGCACGTTGATTACAGTGGGTCAGATGCCCCATAGCTGCGCCACTCACCTCACAGACTCAAAAAGAAAGTACTAAATTAGTGCTCGAATCACCTGTCTCTTCGCAATGTCAACGAGTCTATTGCAGGGCCCGGCACGAGGTCGGCAAATGACAAGCTGGAAATCGTTTTGGGGCCAAAAGGCAAAGGGGAAATCGTTTTTGCGGGGTCCGGAGCAGAGCTCCGGAAGAAAAATTGGTAGTTCATACTCGCTACTTATCTTGACATGTTATGTGCCTCAACAGGCGAACGCTGGAGTTCGCGCGCGTCAGACCGCGCCGTCGCTAATTGCCGCACGCGCGACGTCGCCCAACCGATGCTATTTGTAACAGCATGCATGACTAGTTCTCAATGTATGTGTAACGATATGGCACCAAATTTTGTATGCGAACGGAGAAAGGCTAGTGGAAACACAGTATGAAAAATTGTGAAAAACTTATGTGAACGGAACGAGTAATTAGCATTTTTCCGAGATTTTCGCAAAACTGGTAAATGAAGACGTGAATTCAAACGGCTCGTTTGGAATGCGCAGATGAACGATATGGTATGAAACTTGGTAAGTACATGCACACGGACTTGCTGGGCTTAACTGAGGAGTTTCATTGAAAAATTATGTGACTAAAGGTTGTGGTAAACTTTTTTCTGAAAATTTTGCGCTACCAAAGAAATGGAAAAATGGCTCGTTTGCAACGCAGAGGTAACGTAATCGCGCGGGATTCGGTGTGTATATGCGCAATAGGACTAAGTAATAAAGCATGAAATATTATGAAAAACTTATGTGAATGAAGAGCGTGCTCAACTAATTTCCAAATTAGGTCGGCATTTGCCGACCTAATTCCCACCTGAGGTCGGCAAAACTCTCAATTCACATAATTTTTTCAAAATTTTTACACAAATCTGTTGTACACCTAAAGTTTACTACATGGTGAAATTTTGGTTCCGAAACTCCTCCTCTTGACCTTGTTAGAGCCCAAAATCGCATCAGCAGCCTAGCTTTCTAAGATGGAAAGCGCGCTCCAGTCAATCGATACGCGCGGGAGCGGCGTCTCTCATTCCTATGACTGCGTTTCTTTAATATTTTCTCATTCCTTAATCATTTTTCTTGCTTATTTTTCTTCCTGTTTTCTATCTTGATACAGCTGAGGAGTAATTTGAGGAATTTGAGCAATTTGGGCGCTTTTGAGCGCTTTTAGGCGAAGTGTGACCGGTAATCTCGTCGCACAAGCACGAAACGTCATTTTTGGGCTCGAGGGGGTATTTGTAAAATCTAATGGGATCAAAGGATAATTCGTTTTGGAAAACCCCGTTTGCCCACCTCGTGCCGGCCGGCCCTGGTCTATTGGCAAATAGACAGCTTTAAATGCGTTGCCATTTGCCAGCAAATTCGATCCCCCATTATGGTGCGCTGCCTCAATGTGGCGTGAGGGTGGCCCTGTGTCGAACTGTTGTACAGCCGAGAGTTTCTCTGGCAGGGGTCTAGCTGTGAAGAAATTCGACATTCTTCGGCTGGATGTCTAGTAAGCGGACGAGGCCAGATTTCCCGCCAACTGATTTCAGGTAAAAATCGCTGCCGTTTCCCATTAGCCCTGGCCATACGTACAGCGATTTCATCGTCGCGATTTCATCGCCGAAGAATTTTGTGATTGTAGCGACGAAATCGCGACTATCAAATCGCTCATCGCGGGTTCTGGACATACCTACCTGTTCAGCGATAAGGTGAAAATACACACCTCAGCACTCGTTCTACGTTTTCTTTTGCCATCCAAAAGCAGTATTTAGCGTGATTTCTTTACATCTGCAGATTTTTCGTCTTTTTTCGACACCAGTACGTCCAGCATCAACATTTCATATTAGTTCGCGCATTTACATCTTCATTCAACTTTTCGTGTTAGATACAAGATGCAAAAGCAATTTTCTTAAGTTGTAATTGCGGTTTTGCTGATTTTTCGCGAAATTTAGATGCCTAAATACTACGCATGTTATTCAATTACGAGTTTCGAACAATTAAAAATGTTCATTTTGACTGATGGTACGAATTAGAAAAGACGCGCATCACAACACGACAGAAGTGCAATTGCGAAGTGCAAAAGGAAATCTGCATCACATTTCAACATCACTGCAGAAAAAGCAAGTCGAAAAGGAAAAGAACTATTTCAAAAACCTTCAGGGAATTCCAATTCCAGCGATATCGCCCCGTCGCAGGTTTCAAACTTGCGACGCGATATCGCAAGATTTCGGTCAAATCGCGGCGGTATCGCTGGAATAGGTATGGCCTAGGAAAACACGGTCAGCGATCCGTCGCGCCGGACAGCTAGCACGACCGATATGCATAATTTGGCGGCATGAAATAGGGGGTATTGCAGTTGTCCGATTGCACAAATCGCATCGAGGTGATTTTTTTGACGGTATGGCCAGGGCTATTCCCCATGTCGGGATCGGCGATCGCCCGTGGAAGGCAAGAGGGCATGTAAGTCTGCTCTCGAGAAAAAGTCTCTTACTCGTACAGCAGGAGGGAAAGAAAAACATTTTGCACATTGACACCTTCGCCGACACGGAGTTACAGGACCCGATGTCGGATTGCTCAGGGGGTCTTGTGGATCGAACAAAAATGACACGTTTGTGACAACACGCCAAGATTGCCTCCGCATTTGCAACGCCTCGTATCTTTATGTACAAAGGCTCAAATGACCTCCATGCTCTTTTCAGCGCTGTAGGTCCCATCAAGTACTACGTCCTTACTCTGCAAGAAACGGACAGGAAGAAGGACGAGCAACACCTGCGCGATGGGATACTCATGGTAAAAGTTCCATCACGAAACGATGCAGAGCTATGCTTTGTCGTTCGTTTTTCTTATCAATCCGCATAAATTTTGCCACCTCTGCTGGCATCCTTCTACGACCCCGTGTCACAAAACCATCAGCATCATCAACTGCTACCCTAGTGGCTCTGATCAACTCTCCCCATGTGAAAGTACGATTCAGTCAAAAGCTGAAAAAGAGGGTGGCACAGAGCCGCAAGAAGGAAGAAGTCGTTTATGACGGTCATAAGTTGGAAAAGCTCTGTTAAGTTGTGACTGGCCAATCGAGAAAGACCCAATTTACGACCACGATAGCTGAAAGGACTGTGAGCCTGCGGAAAGTGCGCCACAACAAATTCCAAGAATAATTTGGAGCCAGGGTCCGGCATGAGTCGGTTTTTAGGGTTTCTGGACGAAGTCTCCTTGACTTCAGAAAATTCTGCGAAGTCTCCTCTGAGCCTTATCGGGAACATATCGATTTGGGAGAAAATGAAAACAAAAAAGTTTGGTTGCTAGTTTGAAAGGAAAAATGTGGAATAAGAGTGAAAATCTAAAGTGGAGCTGAATAATACGCATGCGCTGAGCTTGGCATTGCAGCGTGATATCTAACAAAGCGAATTATGAAGAATTCATGAAAAAAAAACAGAGGAAAGGCAACGATATTAAAATGTCCCCATGCTCAAGGACAGATTCTCAACCGGATATTTCGTTCATGATAGAAAAATCCACAACTTACGTGAACCTCAAACATATATATGCTCAACATGATCTCAGATCGTAAATGGCCGCTTGGAAGAGGGGTAATTTTGAAAAAGTTATTACTTCACATAAGTTTGCAAACCTATGTAAATACTTCTTCCGTAATTAATATTCTATGCCTACAGCCCAAATGGTGCCATATGCTTGTCTCTACGCTATAAGTAAGTAAGCATTTGTTAGGTTTGGCTTTACTTTCAAATCGCGCGCGCTTTCAGCGAGACACGATGAAGCACGTAATTAATAACCGTCTTCAAAGCTTGTGCTTGACTGATTGGTTGCTTTTGGCACTACAGGAAGTGTATTGAATTGTCTTGCACACGTATATCACTGCCGTTGGTAGCACTATGAACGAAAGTTGGACTCCGACGACATGAGATGGTATCTATCGCGAAGAACTTCACACCAACCTCTTCCGCTCATCAAACCAGTGATGTCCGTTGTTCCCATTGCCACCGGAGATTTTACCTGCTGATATGCGCAGAGCAATTCAGACCATAAAGACTTCACTGTACCACGACGATCATCTTTCGTCGAACTTCTGCGGTCCGATGAAGGACGTCTAAATGAGATTCTCACGCCGCATCTAACATAACAATTTTAAAGGGAGAGGATTCTGCACCAACGGGAATATGAGGGCTATGCTTCTCTTCAAAAAGTGTGAACGGAGGATTTTTTAGAATTACCCACCAATACCTGCTGTGTGTGTTGTACAAGCTTTTTACGAACATCATCCACTCACGTATCAAAGACACTGGCTTAGCAAAAAGGGAAATATTCAGATATTCAGGTATTCAGTCAGCTATTCATATCAACAGCATATGTCAAACTGCTTTATGCAACATTTTCGAAATTGGAAGAAGTTCCACCTTCAGGTTGATTAAAGTGCATTGCCACTCTAAAAATTTTGCCACGTCATCCTCATTAAGACTGATTTTAACATGGCCACAATGCCTTCGGTTCGTCATCAGATACATTCTATGCTTGGCGCTAGGTTTTACCCTTTGTTGCAAACGAGGCTTCTCCGCTGATGGAAACCTCAAAGTGTGCCACCATGAACTCAAGTTGCATGCCTTTAATAAAAAAACTTGCAAACTCTTGGGAAGAATAACTGCTACAAGTGCTGCGTCGTTGCTACTAGCTCGGAGGTCGAGTCGCACTAGTGCACAAGAACCCTTTCTTCACTCCAAACGAGGAGGCTGCATAAAATAGGTCCAGAATCTCTAACAATAAGAAGTAGGGCTCATATTAATAGTTCCATGCGGAGTACTGCTTCCAATCGTAGAGGGCCAAAGTTGAAAGAGATAATTGAGATACCAATCACTTCGAAATAACAGTCCCTATAAAAGTCTTAGGTGATTATGTGATCACTTAATGTCAAGTATCAATCGCATATACACTGTCATGGCGATCCGTTAATGGATCATTGGTCAAATCTTCGGAAGCGACTTCTCAATTAACGAATTCTTGAACGAGCAGATGAATTTGTTGCAACGTGTAACAGTGCGATTACAGGCACAGATCCCTACCTAAGAAGCCTGATATTGAAGAAAAGAAATTGGAAATCAAAATTAAAACTGTGAGTCTAGTTTTTCCTTGCGAAAAAGAATTCAAATAGGCACATAATATCATTAGGAGTTCATTGAAGCCACATATGATATTGAGAGCTAAGGTTGGGAAGAACACGAGTCAATTTACAAAGTCCTTGGAATGTTAGACAGAAGAGGAGAATGGATATAGTATTGAGCAGAAAAGTTTCCTCATGATATAAAGTAGGGTTTTGGTTCGGTGACTGCCTGGTTCACGATCAAATTACAATAATGTTTTGAAATAAGCAGGATAGTTTACACGACTACAAGCTTCGATATTGAGCTCGTTGCTCTCACCTTTACAGAAGATTTTATGGCCTCTCATTAAGCATATGTAAATTAGAGTACCCGCCTTTGTACACGATTAGGCAGTCCGTTTTTGTCACTCGAGATCAAAAAGGTTGTAAATTATAAAAGATTCGCTTCCAGTAGTTTAGAGCTTTCCTTGAATGGCTTGCCACTGTGAATAGAATTATGGAAATTGCACTAGTTTTTGCTAAAACTAGATATTAGATGTGCAAATCAGTCTACACATACTACAAAGTCGCTTGAAAAACAAAAGTGCGAAAAACAGCAGCCTGTACAATACCGCTCACAGAATGTGCAAAATTTCCGTGAATGTCGCAGAATTCCGAATTCTGCGACATTCCCGGAATTTCGCGATATTCATGTAAATCACGCAGATTACACAGGGCCATAACTTCTTTCCAAATGAGTATGTTCAAAATCCGAAAACAACGTTGTATTCAGCTCCTCAAGGCGAATCTTTTGCTATACAGGTTGTCTCCAATATCCTGTTTTCAACTATCTTGAATTTGCATGCGGACGCCTTTTCGCGTGGGTGTAACGCGCTGAACATCACACAGAGGAGACTACGGCGGGCACCCTTCGATAGTACTCTTTTAGTAGATTATTCTGCGTCAAACAACAGCCGAAGGCTCTCTTTTAAAAGAGATAGAAGAGCTGATAAACTCTGGAAAAATTAAGCTGTTCCAAGTTCTACTAGCCGTAACTTCCTTCAAGATGAACATCTTCGAAATCCGAAAACAGAATTGTGTTCAGCTCGTCAAGGCGAATCTTACCGTATACAGCATGTCCTTGAAATTCCGTTTCCAATTTTTTTCAAAATTTTCTGCCCGCGTATATTCGCAAGGTCGCAACGCAGCGCACATCAAACATAGAAGACTTCAATAAGCACTATTGGATTGTGCTGCTTCTGCAGATTACCAAGCGCTAAAAGCGAACGGAAAATCTTTTTCAAAAAAGATAGAAGAGCTGGTGAATTCTGGAAAAATCGTGATGTCTCGAATTTTGCCACTGTAACCCTAAAATGGAAAGCTCTCCTGCTAAGCAGATGTGATTTTCGTAATCAGCAGGTCAGACAACCTCTATGAGCAAGTTTTCAAAGAAATTCGGGTGATTTGATTTTTTCTCGTTCTACGCCCTGAAGCTCGCCGATGGGTTTTGGTCAGAAATCTTGGATTGTAAGAAAACTTCGCTCATAGAGGTTGTCTGACCTGCTGATTACGAAAATCACATCTGCTTAGCAGGAGAGCTTCCCATTTTAGGGTTACGGTGGGCAAAATTCGTGACATCACGATTATTCCAGAATTCACCAGCTTTTTTATCTGTTTTAAAAAGGTTTTTCGGTTCGTTTTTAGCGCTCTGCAGAGCAGTACAATTCGATAGTGCTTATTGATTTCTTCTATGTTTGATGTGCGCTGCGTTGCGACCTTGCGAATATACGTGGGCAGAAAATTTTGAAAAAATTGGAAACGGAATTTCAAAGACATGCTGTAAACCGTAAGATTCATCTTGACGCGCTGAACACAATTCTGTTTTCGGATTTCGAAGATGTTCATCCTGAAGGAAGTTACGGCTAGTAGAACTTGGAACGGCTTGATTTTTCCAGAGTTTATCAGCTCTTCTATCTCTTTTAAAAGAGAGCCTTCGGCTGTTTTTTGACGCAGAATAATCTACTAAAAGAGTACTATCGAAGGGTGCCCGCCGTAGTCTCCTCTGTATGATGTTCAGCGCGTTACACCCACGCGAAAAGGCGTCCGCATGCAAATTCAAGATTTTTTAAAATAGGATATTGGAGACAACATGTATAGCAAAAGATTCGCCTTGACGAGCTGAATACAATGCTGTTTTCGGATTTTGAATATACTCATTCGGAAAGAAGTTATGGCCCTGTGTAATCTGCGTGATTTACATGAATATCGCGAAATTCCGGGAATGTCGCGAAATTCCCGGAATTTTGCGACATTCACGGAAATTTTGCACATTCTGTGAGCGGTATTGTACCTTTCTGAAAATAAGAAATTTTCAGTCTTCTTCAAGGTTATTGCTCCACTTTTTACGTTTCAAGCAAAGGCGCAAAGGGGTGACTTTCTGTGAATCCTCCTTTTCTCAGTACTTGGGCTTTGGCATTCCTTCATTACTAACATCGCGTTGATGGCCTCTAGCAATTTTACTCCCTTTCAGTTTTCTAGTAGAAGTAAAGCACTTGATAGATGATCACGCTTCAGCCACAAGAAAAGCAAGAACCACCGCAGCGGTTGAGGGATGAACAGCAGCAGCGCCAACTACAGCAACAGCAGCAAGAACAACAACAGCAAGAGTCGCCATTTAAGGTAGATCTTACCAACCTTAACGCCTTAAATATGCCCTTATGTTTGCCAAGGTTGAGCTCGTGCAAGTGAGACTGTTTGTTCGCAATCACTGTCAAAAACTCAAAATATGTTGACAATTTCTTAAACTTGCACTTCTGGAAAAGGCTTTTCACAACCACAAAGTTCACAAGCATTTGAAAATAGTAGCAGACACATTGCGATAATATTTTCATATATTGTCATCTTATGCCTTCTTGTTCTCTCTTTTGTTCCTCCTCGCAAATGCCTAATTAACACACTATTCAGCAACTTGATAAGTCTCTAATAGAAAATATTTGGTATCATGGGATAATACCTCGGAAGGAGGTCGAAGACATGTTAAAGGTACTCTTAAAGAGATGAGGAGTCAGGTGCCCTTAGTCAAGATGTTTAGATCCACGGCGATTATTTGGTACGTAAAACGACAGTAGCAAGACAAGTCGCATACTGTATCTCTGTAAAGCATTTCGCAGAGGCCAAACATGTACCTATAGGCTATTCGAATGGAAATTGGACCTTAAAAAATGTAAGCAGTGAATGTTCCAAATACAGCTAACAAGGGAATGGTCAGAAATCGAAGTGGCCAATCCATACAAGCTGCATACCGTTCGATGCAGCATAGAATGCTGATTTTAAATCTGTCTTCCCTATCTGCAGAGCCTTGTGTACGAAATTATAAGCCTTTGAAGGCCTTTATTTTGCTGAGAAATTGTGCGTGTAAAGTGCAAACTTGGCCGTACAAAGCCATCCTCGGCTCAGTGTCGGACCGAAACGTGCAAGTAGATCACTTCATATGACCCATACCTAGAAGTGAGCTCAAAGAGTAATAATGTGCCTAACTTCACAGTTTTTGTTTACAATTTTTTCGCAGTAAAGCTGCCCATAACTTCGCCTACAAAGGCGCTCTGCAGATAAGGAAGACAGATTTGAAATCAGCATTCTATGCTGCATCGAACGGTATGCAGCTTGTACAGATTGGCCACTTCGACTTCTGACCATTCCCTTGTAAGCAGATTTGTGTTTAAGATAACAAAACATTCATTGAAAGAGCTCGTAGACGAACTCGTACAAAAGGCCATCCCAATTCCTCCATCCGGGGCTGTTTTACGCACTCCAATCCCACGTCCGGACTATTATTTTTTACACGAAAGCATCACAATTCTCAAGAAACTAGGACGTAAGTTTTACTTCTGAAAGCTTAAATTTAAAAATTCGAGGAAATTATGCCATATACATCGTTCAGATGGAGAGTTTGGAGAAGTAAACTTAGGAAAGCTAAAACTAAAGACAGGAAAAGAGATAGAAGTTGCCGTGAAAATGCTCAAGAGCGCAAAAGTGAAGAAGTCGCAATTATCCGCGTTTTTTGAGGTATAACCAAATTAGAACAGGGATCACATCTTATGTCTCTTATGTTAGGAAGCTAAACTAATGCGCCGATTTGACCATCCGAACATAGTACGGTTCTATGGTGTAGCTCCGCAGGAAGAGCCGATCATGATAATAATTGAATTTGCGTCTGGTGGATCATTGAAGGTGATATTACTGAATTATCTTATCGCAAAGACTTTGTCGGAAGCTGATCATTATATAACACTAGCTGGCTTACCCGGCTCCGCCGTATGCTCCGAATATAAAATTCATTTCTTAACCGATCCGGACCAAACTTGGCACACATACACTTCGAACCTCAGCGGGTGTCACAGTCCACTTTTCGTTATCGATCGATGTCGATTTTATCGATTTTTTGCAAAATTTGAGCTAGGAGGCTGGGAGTTGGCACAGGGGGGTAATCGAGCATGCTGATCACCCCCGTGGGGGGCATGCTCGATTACCCCCCTGTGCCAACTCCCAGCCTCCTAGCTCAAATTTTGCAAAAAATCGATAAAATCGATATCGATCGATGACGAAATAGCCTATGACACTCGCCGGGCCCGAAGTGTATGTGTGCCCAAGGGTCCCGATCGGTTCAGAAATGGAATTTTCTATTCGGAACATACGTACATACATACAGACATACAAACAGACATTCAGCTTTATATATAAGATTCGGTGTCGCTGATTAGCTTTAAAGGCATTGTCCAAACCAATTGAGGGAGGGGAGATTTCAACGCCATGCGGGACCACGGCTCCTGACTATTTCAACAGTTCAAGTCCGATTGAAAAAGATGGCTTCTGAAGCAAGAAAATCGCTCCCGAAAGGAGGGTCAGTCCGCCGATCTCCCTCCTTGACAAGTTTTGACGTGGAGAATGCTGTACATCTAATGTATATACTAACCATGTCAAAACTTGTCAAGAAGGCGGGATTGGCGGACCGCCCTTTTTTCCGGAGCGATTTTCTCTCTTCAGGATCCAACTTTTTTAACCGGACTTGAATTATTGCATTAGTCAGTAGCCGTGCTGCCGCACTGCGTCAAAATCCCATCACCCTCCAACTGACCTGGACAATGTCTTTAAAGGCATTGTCCAGGTCAACTTGAGAGTATTGGGATCCTGAAATGTGAGAGCACGGCTCCTGTCTAACGCAACAGTTCAAGTGCGATCGAAAAAGGTGGAATCTGAAGCGAGAAAATCGCTTCGGGCGAGTCTGCAAAAAAGGGGCGGTATTCCAATCCCGCCCCATTGACAGGTTTTGACGTGGCGAATGCTCAAGATTCAGCGTATTGGCCACGTCAAAACTTGGCAAGGGGCCGAGATTGGAGTACCGCCCTGAACGGACCTGGACAATGCCTTTAACTCCTGCCACCCGTGAATCGTTCTCGCGACTTGGTTTTAGCTCCATGTGAAAGTGGTTCTCGTACAAGACTTCGCACAAGTGCGAGTTCATACATTAGACGAGAAGCGAGGAATCGCTCGTGTGGTTGGGAGACTTACGTCCTAGCGGGAAAGCCTCGCCCATCGTAAAATCCACTATGTCTTTTTGAGTGCAATACAACACGATTTTGATAGCTGCACCGCAGGTCGGATGCGGGAAGGAAAGAGCCGGAAAGCTGTGTTCTGCAAAACACTTACTTAGATGAGAATTATTGCGCAAGCAAATTCTTTTATCCTTTGCGAAATTGAAACAATATTCTGAATCTGGCAAACGCATTAGCTTTGTGAGAAAATTTGGAGACGTGGCTGACGCTAACACCGCCAGATCAGCGCAAACGTCAGTTTCGCCACACGCTTCTATAAGCGAGCGGTTGCGTTTCAATCAACGCCAGTACAATATCAACGTGCAGCGCTTTAAACATTCATCTACGTGGATAGGTACCAGCCGAGAAGGACTGGCTGCAGCTTGAGGTAGACACGTCGGTGTTGCAGCCACAGCGTGTTTCGATTCTGCTGACCCCTAGTTTTCTTCATGAGTGTTGGATTCAGATGTCATGTCTGTCCTTATTCTGTGTACTCATGCCTACAACCTCATGAGTGCCTAACCAGAAGGGACAGCACCTGGGTGAAGTGTCTTCTGCCTTTGAACAAACACTGCTTACCACCGGCTTAGATTCTATTTGGGTAGCACGTTGGTGTAAAGAACCATTTATAACTTCCTTCAGAAAAATCTTCTGCATGAGGAGTAGCCAATGGGGTTGTTTCACTAGCTCAGTTATCACTCAATTATGCGTTGCATTTTTGAACCGTAATATAAAAAAATCTAAAAATATACAATAGTGCTGAAAAGTTTCAGCTCAGCATTCGCTAGATAGAGTGATGTACCAATTCAACAAGCTAGAAAGACTTCCTTACACTGTTCTTACCGAGAAGAACTTTGATGCAACTTGATTTTTACGAAGAACATATATTGCCAATTCCAGAGTTATTGTAAGAACCATACGGATATATCTGTAGAAAAATTATTGCAATTTGCTACAGACGGCGCTCGTGGAATGTGCTATCTAGCAGCGCAGAAGGTTTGTTGGGAGAGAAAACGAACTAGTATTTTGCAAACGAGCTTTAGGTGATTCATCGAGACCTCGCTGCAAGAAACTGCCTACTAGGGAAGCAGGATGAGCTAAAAATATCGGATTTCGGACTTTCCATTGCCGACAAAACTCAGATGAAGATGGACAAACTCAGGAACGTACCAATCAAATGGTTGGCTCCGGAGACATTACGTCAGGCAAGTGTGCGGGTACCACTAAATCAGATTTGATAACGTACGATATGTATCGCTGTTCAGGGTGTATTTTCAAGTAAGACGGATGTATGGAGCTATGGGGTCCTACTCTGGGAAATCTTCGCAAAGTGCATCTCGGATCCGTTCCCAGGCGAAACCAACCAAAAAGCAAAGGAACATATTCTCAATGATCCCCTTCCAATGTACGCACCAGAAGGAAGCCCACCTGTTATACAGTTGATAATGGAAGCATGCTTCAACAAGGTTAATGCTAACACAAAATAACTTCGCAAAGGTTTTTGTTTCAGGATCCTGATAAAAGAGCGACTTTTGTATTAATTCTCAAAGTCCTGTCACCAAATGAAGAACCTCCTACAAAGCCTGTAGAAGCTTTCCAAACCTACTGAAAGCAAATATATTACAGATCTTCTCAGAAACATTTAACATATCAACAAGAAACTCATTATGCGTCCACTTAAGATACAACAAATTGTGGGCTTATTTTATTAAGAGATTATGATAAAGAGAATTGCTTACTCTTGTACAAACAGATCCTTGATATGATTCTGCCCGCTCGAGTAGGCGCAGAAACATTTCTTTTATGCCAACGATAGAAAGTTAGCGATAAAAATTCGAATTTATCACCTTTATTTGCGCTCTACACCAACGAAGAGTTCGTCCCGGTCGGATTTCACATCTTGCCGTTCGGAATCGACCTCCTGAGAGTTTTACGCAGCAGAGTATAAGGATCTCAATCGACCACTAGATTGATCCCTTGCAATAACAGGAACCACAAAAATTAGCATGGAGGTTTGAGCTCCCCACAATGGTCGGTCGCCTCATCGTGGCGTGGGGGTGACACTGGGTGTCGAACTGCGATGCACAGCCGAGTGTATACTCTAGTAGGACCTCTCAAGCTGTGAAGGAGTTCGACGTTTCCGGTTTCGGCCGGATGCCTAGCTAAGAACTGGCCACGCCAGATCCTCCGCCGTCTGGCTTCTTCTGGTCGCTAGGCGGTCCCTCCCCGCTCCAACCCGGGGTCAGCGATCGCCCCGTGGAAATCAAGAGTAGGCCTAGTAAGCCACCTCTTGTAGGGGAAAATTCATATTATTCCTCCAGTTAGAAGATTAGAAAGAAACCCTGCACATCGTATCCCGCCTACGGCGCCGGGTGGTAGCAAGAACGATGTCAGGGTACTCAGGGCGCCTTTCGGATTGGACAAAAACGACACGTCTGCCCGGACGACACGCCATGGAGGCTGCCTCATGCTCTGCACCTACAACGCCAGGACAGTCTCCACAAACGCCGACCTCCACGCTCTTCTCGACGCTGCAGAGCACATCAACAACCACATCATCGCTCTGCAGGAAACGAAGTCCAGGAAGAAGGACGTGCGACAGATGAGTGATGGGACCCTCATCATTCGTGGTGAAAAGGTTTCATCACGAAACGTGGGAGGCGTCGGCTTTGTCGTCCATCCATCTATCGTCCATCTTGTCGATTCGCACGAGATCCTATACCTCGACTAGGCATTCTACGACTACGCCCTCCACGTCAGAAGACCATCAGTATCATCAACTGCTACTCGCCAACATCAGCAGCTGACGACTCAGAACTAGAAGCTTTCTACGAAGACGTGGAGGAGGTCGTCCGCAACGAAAAGTCCTTCTACAAGTATATTGTGGGCGACTTCAATGCGAAAATCGGGATGCCACTAGAAAAGGAATATAGGATCGGGAAGTTTGGATATGGGCTCCGAAACGAAAAAGGCAACCGTCTCGTTGGGCTCCTCTCCTCACGACTCTTCCATGGAAACTCCATCTTCATGAAGAAAGAATATCGCCGGTGGACTTGGGAATCGCCCAACGGAACGACTCATGCTGAGATCGACCACATTCTCACCAACCGAAGGTGGAGCTTACTCGATGTCTCTGTAGTTCCATCCTTCTGTAGTGGCTCCATCACCGCCTCCTTCGAGCGAAGATACGACTCAGCCGAAGGCTGGAAAAGAGAGTCTGTCATAGTGCCGCGAGAAGGAAGGAAGTCGTTTATGACGGTAACAGGCTGGAAGAGCTCATATCAAGTTGTGACTGGCCCATCGAGGAGGACCCAACGTACGACTACGACCGGCTTCTGAAAGGATTGCGAGCCTGCGGAGAATGCGCCTCAGGGACTTCTGAAAAGAACTTGGACCGCATCTCGAAGACCACCAAGGAATTGCTCGAAAGAAGAAGATCATTGAGGCAGGATCCGAACGCAACTCATCTCGAGCGACTGATAGCCAACGCCAGTTGCAGAACAGCTTTGCAAGAGGATCTCAGGAAGTACAGGCAAGCCAAGATACTGGAAGCAGCTGAAAGAAGACGAAGTCTCAAGAAGTGCCGAAGGGACCTCTGCGAATATCACGTACAGCTGGCTGCACTACTGAACGGAGACGGGACTCCGACTTCTTCCCGATACAAGATGGAATCTATCGCGAAGAACTTCTACACCACCCTCTTCCGCTCATCAACACCCGTGCAGATGCCCGTTGTTCCCACTGGAGAAGTACCACCACGAATTCTACCTGCTGAAGTGCGTATCGCGATACAGACCATGAAGACGTCCACGGCTCCAGGACCAGATCATCTTTCCGTCGAACTTCTGCGAGCCGGAGGACACCGTCTACACGAGATTCTAGCGTCGCATTTGACAACTTACCTTCAGAAGGAGAAGATTCCCGACCAGTGGAGAACGTCAAGAACCGTCCTTCTCTTCAAGAAGGGTGAACGGGAGGATCTTCGGAACTATCGTCCAATATGCTTGCTGAGTGTGCTGTACAAGCTTTTCACGAAGATTATCCTCGCTCGCATATCAAGGACACTGGATGAAGCCCAACCCCAAGAACAAGCTGGATTTCGCAAAGGATTCAGCTGCATGGACCACATCCAGACCGTTTCGAGGGTCATAGAAGTCTGCCGGGAGTACCGACTGCCTCTCGTCCTAACCTTTGTCGACTACAAGAAAGCCTTTGACAGCGTCGAAACCAACGCCATCCTGTCTGCGCTAGTCGATCAAGGAGTGGACCCAGCTTACGTGAGGACGTTAGTCGACTGTTACAAGGACTGTACAACGACGATGCAGCTATTCCATCGCCCCCTGACCATACCAATCGGGAAAGGGGTCCGACAAGGCGACACAATCTCGCCGAAGCTGTTCACCGCGGCCTTGCAGTGGGTGATGAAGTCACTGGACTGGGACGAGAGAGGCATACGAGTTGATGGGAGATTCCTGTCCAACCTTCGTTTTGCGGACGACATCGTTCTCTTCTCGAGCAGTATCACCGAGCAGAGACGATGCTGAAGGAACTAAACGAAGTAGGGAAGAAGATCGGATTGCGAATAAATCGGAAGAAGACTCAGTTCATGAAGAACGCCCTTTGCGAAGATGCAGAAATGGAATTGGAAGGCACCCCGATTAGGGAGACGTCTTCCTACGTGTATCTCGGACGTTCGATGAACATGGAGAACGACTTGAGGGAAGAACTTAACAGGAGAAGAAGAGCAGCCTGGGCCGCCTTCGGGCCTCTGAAGGAAGCCACCGACCAACTGACGGACCCGGAGCTTCGTGCCCACCTGTTCGACTCAACCGTTCTCCCGGCGCTCTGTTACGCAGTTGAGACTTGGGCCGATACTGTAGCCACGTCGAAAGCTTTACGGACCACCCATAGAGCGCTCGAGCGCAGTCTTCTGAAGATGACCCGACGCAAGCAACATCTAGTCGGACTTCGCAGCACGGATATGAGAAGAATGTCCCGTCTTCGTGACCCAGCGGAATACGTCGCGAAAGCCAAACACCGATGGGCCGGTCACATAATGAGAAGAACAGACGACAGATGGACACTAAGAACATCGGAGTGGATTCCTCGCGAAGCCAAACGTCCTCGAGGAAGACCACCGACGAGATGGGCAGACGTGTTCGTGGAACGGATGGACCAGCTGAGAAATCAGCTAAATACGACTTTCGCCCCTGGAACTCGTGGACGCAGCCACCGACGACGGCCAAGAAGATCGTGGATGCCTGAAGCGAGGGACAGGGAAAACTGGCGACTTCTGTACTAGGGCCCGCACGTCACGTGAGGACGGGCCATCTAAGTATCTAAGTATCTAAGTTTGAGCTTACTTCTACCCACCAAGCGGCAATACTCTCCGGTAGCGGCTACATGCGGATTACTTCTCGCCGATATAATCATGGAGGTCTACAACGCGCGTCTCTAATTTTGAGCACGTCCATTGCAGATACCCAAAGTGGAGATACGTATAGCTCGTTGTTGCTTATGACATTTACGACAAGTGACATTTTGATATCATGCTATCAGTCCATATGCAGATTTGATACAGAGTCAGCACATATAAAAAGAGCGGGGGAATGATCTTGTTGAAACGTGTTCATTTCGGTCGAGCTGTCTTCCGAGGTTGGTATCAACTACCGTAGTCCGCGTTGTTAGTCTATCTCGATCGTATGTGCTGACTCTTTACTGGCATCTGAGTGAAGGAGTTACTTGAACTTCGACTTTATAGGCTCTGACGAAGGCGAAATCGCCGAAACGTTAGCCAACAAAGAATTGATGCAAATCTTGGTCACGCTGAAACAGTAGTATACATGACATTTTGATATTTCGAAAATCGAAGCACAGTCTGACAACAGCACTCTCAGTAGATTCGCAGAAAAATTCGAAACAAATACAATTTGTTAAAGCATTGCTTTCAAGTAAAAGGCGGAAGTTACCGATGCATCCACATCCTCTAGACTTGTGTCAAAAATGGAAAGATGAAGGATTCGGCGAATTTACTACTCGACAAACGACATTCGCCCACACCTAAGCGCTCTAGCTTTTACAAGAGAAGCATACCATAACGACTGAAGACGAGATGTATGCCCACTATCCGCATCTTTAAAAGCTAATTCCAGGTCTGTTTTTCTGCGGAACTACTCTTCGAAAGAAATTGTGAGTGTTTTAGTGTCCAAATTTGTCAAGCTTTGAACGGTATAAAATTAGCGAAAAGCTCCAAAAAAACACCTATGCGGTTTCCGTTAGCCGCGTCTTACCCTCGCAGTCAGCTTACTTTATACAAGTTATGCAGGTGTTTATTTACAGCTTTTCGCCAACTAAAACTCAAGACTTGACCAATTTAGACTTCAAACGCTCATAACTTCTTTCGAACAGTTGTTTCGCAAAAAAGAAAGCAGACTTGAGATCAACATTTTAAGAGCGCGTTCAATGATTTACAACTCGTCTCGGCTTACTTCTACCCTTTTCTTATTAGTCGAAACAGTCTGAAATGAGAGGGTTAAGCTGCTCAATAAGTCAGTGCTTTATTTTTCTCAACTTGCTGCGCTATTCCATAGTATGTAACACAAGAAAACAAAATAAAAGAATTTTCTGAGCTCCTCTCACATTTTACA